TTCTTTTTCTCTTGTCATAGTCTACTGTTTCATTCACATGGTTCTACTTCATCTCTTACTTCATAGATTTCTTTGCTGGAACCCATACCCTCCTTTCTTTTTCCTCCAGAGTTGAATTTCTGTGATCGGTTTTGCTCCAGCCATCCTAGGAAGGCAGGGAGTTGACAGGACAGACCAGGGCAGGAGGAAAGGCAACAGGAAGGTTGTACTCATAAAAACTAGTGTCATGCTTTTCCTTTGGACACGTTGGTTGTGACTCGGGAGCTCTGCCTACATCAAGAAGTAGCATAGTCTCCAGAGCCACCATCTGTGCAAGGAACCTGTTCTCCGAAAGAAGCAAGCAAACACACTTACCTGTAAATGTTTGCTCACATAGAGGGGTGTGAGCTCTTTGTGCACTGGTCTGCAGTTGTATTTGTTGAAGCTGTACATCGCTACAGATCAGACATAGTGTAAGCTGAGCCCACTCAGCACGACGTTTCCCTATCCTACTTCAGCTGTGTGTGTTGTTTTATAACGACATCTGCATTATTTGACCGTTACCGAAACAGATTTCCTTCAAACTGGAAAGACTGAAGTTCCCACAATGTCTGAAAGAGACACTGTTGCTGCACATCCCACCTCAAACGCTTTTGCTAAACGATGTCTCAGTCCATTTTAAACTTGTTTGAAGCAGAAGCTTAAACCAAAGCCTGGCTTTCACGTTGCGTAGCAGTTCCGTACTGCGTGTGGGCAGCCTGCTGAAATCAATGGTGCTGCGTGGTGTGGGGGCACTGAGAGCGGGGAGCAGAAGGGGAGAGTCTTTTGTTAAGAGCTATTTTGAAGATCTGTTTATTCATCAAAACCTGCCAGCCGTGTATTGAGGCACGAGCCGGTTTCCTGTCACTTGGAGGTGGGTTTGGGGTTTCTTGTAGTGTAGGACTGGGTTTTATTGTTTCCCTTGTGGAACAGAAGACCACTGTAAGTCACCTAGTTAACAGAACCAACACTACTATAATGGCAACAGTCGTGTGAACAGCTGTATTTTAACCTGAGCGCTAACTGCAGCTTCGTTTCCCAGACAGCTGCTTAGGTGTGCCCGGGAATACTAGGTGACCTTGCTGCTGTTGAAGCTCCTCACAGGACTGAGTCGGTTGGTTCTGCAGCATATACCCTTCCGTTGTCCTCAGCGCTCGAAAACACAAATCCTTGATAAAACCGAAGGGCGAGGAGAGGGGGGGGGTGTTGTACGAGAAAGCGGACTTTCAAGCGCTGTTAACTTTGCAGAGGGAGAGAAGCTTAAGGGCATATTTATGTGCTGCAGTTCATGCCTTTGAAAATCTTTTATGATCACTGAAAGGGTAGGATGAAGGCTTTGATAGGCTGCGTTTTGAAGACCAGGGTACTTTATAGTTTCAATTTAACTAACTGCTGGTCTAGAGTCTAGCTTTTCTATGCCCAGATTAGCATCCTATTTTTTTTCCCTTGTCAAATGAGGCTCTGACAGTCTAAAGTATTAACATAAGTGAAAGCCCTGAAGAAAGTAATGAAGATATTTTTGAAGCACTGAGATTATTGTTTTTCTTTCAGTGACATGACTTTATTGTGAGCATAGAAAAAATCCTTCTCTAATGTTTTTGTTCGGATGGTTGCGTTAAACATGAACTCCTGTTTTACGAGGCTGACTGACTGCAAAATATTGAGCATATGGGATTGTGCTGCTTCTATACACCCTACTGTGGCAAAATTCATACCAGACTGGGAGTCCAGTTTGTATAATGGAAGCAAGGGTGTAGCTTTTGGGATCAGGTTGGGATTCCAGAACCTAAGTCATATTAATGAACCGCCGAGGTGTAGATACGTATGTAGTTTAATTTACACCCTTTCTTTTGTTAAGTCGTATATAATCATTTCGGCTGTAGCCAAAATCGGTGTTCTTTAAGTTGCGTTTCCAGGCGTTTTGTTCAGTGAGAAAATATGACCAACCTTCCAATAGCTGATCTAGATTAAGTAGTAATTAGATATAATTACTGTTCCTAGGGGGAAAGTAATTCTGCCTTATTGAAATTCTTTTATCTTGAATTAACCTACTCCGTTCTTACTGGAAATATTAAGTGAAGCACCAGCTTGCTTTAGGCACTTCTTCCAAAGCTGCTAACCTTTGTTTAGTTTGCCGCCGCTGCTCCGTCTTTGCGGGCTGGTGAGCCCGGAGTGTTTAGGCGGCACCAGTAAGGAGAAGTGCCTGCTTGAATAGCACTGGCCTTTGCTGAACACCTTGGTAGAGCATCCTGTTCCTCTGCTTCCATAGGGATCAACGAGGAGGGCTGGCGACCCGCTTTTCTGTCCTCTCCCCATACCTCGCATTAGGTTTCACAGGGTTTGGGGAGGGGAGGAGCGCGAGTTGTTTCTTTTCTGCCGAGTGGGAACCTAGGCTTCACGACTCCCGCTGCTTACGGGCTATCCTGCGTAACTTGTGTCCCATTTTCAGAGCGTGGCGATAACCGTGCCTGGCGCCCACGGGTCCCGTGTGTACGTGACGTGTACGTTGTTTGTAATTCAGAAGCCAGACCCAGAGTTTTCTGGCGGAATGGGTGTCCAGGAGAGGAAAGCCTGGAGCACCAGGGACCCTGTCAAGCTCAGTTCTAGGTTAGGTTCACGTGGATACACCACCTCAGTAGGCAAACATACTCTCTTCCTGCGCTGACAGACTGACTGTTAAATGTGCCTACAGTGTTGGCTATAAATACAGTCCTAAAACTATTTTGAAATGCTCAGCTGGCAAAGTGTGGGATAGGACTGGCTTCAGAACTGAAACAACTTTATGTTTAAGTAGCTCTTCCATTTTCCTGGGAGCTTTGATTTTACCATAACAAACAGAATCCATTCTTTTACACTCACAAACCCATTAAGTTAGTTGGGAAGTCTTAACACTGTTCTCCTTCCTTCCCCTCTTGTTTTCTCCCCGTTCTGTGTTTTTCTATACAGACTAAATCTAATCCAGTAGATTTCTGGGTGTAGCTTGGTCTGAAAAGTGGGGTTAGATACGTACGGGCTAGCCCTGCTCTTTTCTGTGGGGAGGAGGGAAAGAACTTTAAGTAGACTAAGGTGATGATTTAGTATAATCATCCACACCCACTAGCTAACATCACAGTGCATTAGCAAAGCTAGAAATTAAAGCAAAGTGTAAAGTTGAGTCTTATGCAAAATTTATCCACAGATCTCAGTGATCCTTCACTTTAAATAAATGTAAGAAGCAAAATCTGTCTTCTCTTGGTTCGTGCTGGCAGCATTTCCCACAACTGGCTTGTCTAAAGAAGAGAATTTCAGATCCTCAGCATCTTGTTATCCACTCATGTCCTGTGTCTGCTAGCACAGTTCTGAATTTTGGGCTGGAAAAGCAATGTGCTGATGTTTGGCAGCTACTGGTAACTGAACCTGGAGGACCATTTGGTTTAGGTTTGACGATACTTAGGATAAAGATGACTGTAAAAGCTAGTGCCTGAAAACATGTAACTTTTGGCTTGACTTGCTCTTTTTGCCATTTAACTTGTTTTGATTTTCATAAATAGCTTCTCAACCTGAAGTTTAGTGCATCTTTTTTCATACAGGGAGAGAATGGCTTTCATAACTGCATGTTACATGCCCTAATGTTTGTATTGGCCCTGTAAACTACGTACTGACTCCAGCCGGCGCGTCTTAACGAAGCCTGACACCTGTAACCTTGCACGTTTTCATCAGTTGTGCTGTTTTAATAGTGACTTCACAGCAGAAAGTACTTATTATGTCAACAGGTTGTGCGAAGAAGTCTTTCTGTTTGCTAAACAAACTCCCTCAGTCAGTGTCCTGCCTGCTAGCTGCGTGTTTGAAGTCTGCTGTGTAGAGGCTCCAAGGGATGCCCTCTGGGATCAGATGGCCTGGGAGGGAAAATCCCATCACTGGAGTAACTGACGAAATAATGTTTTCCTTGTGTTTTTGAGGTTTCTCTTGCTAGCCAGTTTCAGTTTTAAGGACACAGATGAGGCTTTTGTTGTTTTTGTTTGGTTTTTTTTAAGCCTTTGTTTGAGGTTCCTTTTTAAATTATGTGTCACTTGAAAATTTTTACTGCTTGGAGACCAATATTTTGAGGGTGGTGATGTAGCTAAGGAAAGACAGCGATTTTGAAGTTTTCCCTTTCCAGAACTCTGTGCATCTCTAAGGTCTTGAGCGTGATAGATCCTGATAGGCACCGGCTGCTGCTTTTGAAAAAGAAAAGAGAAAGCACTAAAGGGAAGGGTGTTTTTTCTCTCCTTTCCCCTCCACCTCCCGTTCTTGAAAATTAACACTTCCAGGTTTCATTCTGAAACGCGGCTCGCATCTGTTGGCGACAGTAGAAGTGATATATTGGAAACCGGTGTTAGACCCACGCAAAAGACTTAGGCCTGCCGTGTGGAGACACGTGTGCCCGGCGCCTGGAGGGAGCTTGGTCTCGTGTGCGGTGACCACCAGCTGGTTGTTCAAGCTACACTGGGGTAACTGCAGTCCGCCTTACGCATCTCTGAGCACATCCTGTGCTCCTCTGGTCGTAACCAAAAGTGTGGTCACTGCTGTAAGTGGCAGGCAGGCTGTGTAGATGACAGTCATACCTTCTGATGTTACCTTTTTAAAGGGAAAAAAGCGCTCCTGCAAAATTGCTGCAGTTGATTCCAGGACATAGTCCAGCTAATGGAAAACTTTACAGCCTGTAAGCTGTTGGCGAATGAGAAGTTGGTCTGGATTTCTCCCAGGTGTGGTCTCCTTGGTCAGCAGACACTGACAGCACTAAAACGCTGGAGTAGAACCTAATGGAATGAATTCACGGTGTACAGCAGGGGAATTCCACTGGCATGTTCTCTTCCCATAGAAGGGGTGGTGCAGTTTCACTTTGTGGTAAGCCTTTACGCTTTCAATGTGGGGGATGAACGCACGTCAGTCTGCTCTCTGACAAACCTGTATTGGGAACTAACCAGCGTCTCTTTTGTTTTCTTCTTTCCTTTTAGTATTGGATGAATGAATATACTTCTTCCCTTGGAATTGGAGTGTTCCATTCAGGTATAGAGGTGTATGGCCGAGGTACGTCCAAGGAAGACATAACGCTGCTCTGGTAATGCTGTTGCTTAACAAACATCTTTCAGGCAGTGAGGGAAAGTTTGGGTAGTGGCTCCTGAAACGTGTTCATCAGTTTTCTCTTAAAGTTCTCAGCTCTTCTGCCTCTGGAAAGAATCTCGGATACAAATAATCCAGGAGTCGTCTTGCATTCCTGTATAAACCTATGCAGCTGTGAAAAAGTGTACAATTTATTCAGCTAGTCGTAGAAATCTTTATTTTAGGTTTTGAAATACCTGTTGTTCAAACAAAGGCCACACGTAAGCATGGCCGAATCACGTCTCCTCAGTATTTTGCCAGCACTTCGTGCCAGGAGCCCGGCTTTAGCAATAGAAACGATAGCCTGTTGCAGATGGGCGCCCCGAAGTGCGTGGCGCTCAGGAGAACGGCCTGTCCCTTATCGGTCGGCGTGTTTGTGTGTAAGAGACCGTGGCTTGAAAAGGTGTCTCGCGCATCCTGTTTACAGCAGGTACGCGTGGGACAGAGGCAGCAAGACATTCCCATTTGGCTGAACAGGTTGTGCTTTGGGGGATGCAGCTTCCTGGCCTGTTCAGGCTGCTTTGAATCCCCATCGCTGCCAGAAGGCGTTCCTGACCGTGCTGCAGCACAGGCTCAGGGCTGGGGTGTCCCTGCGTAGGGCTGCAGTGACACTCTGAGGTGAGGGTGTCGCTGAAAGTAAGCACAAGAAGAAACAATACCTACTTCAGTTCTCATTTTTGGAATGCGTGGAGGTGAGGGGGAGCGGCGGAAGGTGTGGCGTGCGGTCCAAAGGCCACATTGCGCAAAGTTATCTCCAGGTACCGTGGTTGCGTTGTAACTGGGTTTGTAAGGGCTACCCCAGCGACAAACTGACCAAATACAGCGCTTATTGCTGAAACTTTGTTGGGTTTCTTTTAATCCAAACCAGAAGGCCCCGACTCCTAACAGTGCTGTGCCTGAAACCCGGTTCTTGAGCTGTGCCGAATGCGTGTGCCTCCCTTCCTGTTCAGATTATAGCAGCTTTCTCGTGCAGCAGGTTGTGGGCCTGCTAGCACAGTGACTTGCGTTTTTCAAAGCACATCAAACTTTATTGATTAAGCCGTTGCAAAATAAAATGTATCTGCGTGACTGAATGCTGGACTCACGTGGTGTGTTACGCGTTTTGAGGAAAGGAAGGGCGAAGCCAGGCGTAAAGCTTCTCGCTGCACTCCGGGTGTGGCTTGCTGCGTTACCTCGCAGGCGCAGAAAGAAGCGAAAGCACGCCACGGTGTTTTCGTGGGCTCCACGTGTTTATGCCAGCAGGTGCTACGTGCAGGCTTCAGGTGCGTGCACTGGTTTACTTTCTCTCTACAGCGGAGAACTGGGGACAGTTGAACTCTTTGCAAATCGAGAAATTAATTGGCCACTACTTTTTGCCAGGGAATTAATTAGGCCACTGCTTGCTGCGCGCTTGCAGCTGTAGTGCACGCTGAACAGAAGTATCCTCAGACCTCTGAGGATGCAGTACTCTGAATCCCCCGACCTGTAGATGTGCAAGCAGCCCTGTGAAGACAAGCGTGGGTAAAGGACGTTGGTCGGATTTACAGTTCAACTTGTAAATCCTCACTTACACCATGAAAACAACCGATACTTACTGTAAAGTTCCTTGAGTTAAACCTGGACACTGATGTAGGAAATCTGTCAGTTTTTACTTAGGCTGCCTAGTAACTAGCAAAAACGATTCATTTGCAGCTCCTTGCGTTTGTTATCCATGGGAATAAGATGCGTAGCTTCCAGCCGTAGATCCTTGTGGTGCTGTTCTTCGCCGTCGTCGTATGCCGTTTTTATTAAATCTGAGCTTTCTCTTTCAGAATTCGCCTATGGTGGTCATCCATACCCCTTTTCTGGAATATTTGAAATTTCACCAGGAAATGCTTCTGAGCTAGGAGAAACGTTTAAATTTAAGTAAGAAAGATACCTATTTTCCTGCTTTTGAGAAGGCATATTAAAAGGACTGCTTGTTGCGTTTATTTTTGAGGATAGATGTGTCGGATAATACTGCAGGATTTCCACTTCCTGAGGAATCAGCGTGGTTTCTTTACTTAGAAACGAAAGATGGACAGAGGTGATGAGACAGTGAAGTGTCTCCAGCAGAGAACATTATTTTTCACACACCATTAAATTCCTTCTATGTGTATAAATGATGTGGGCTGTGGCTAATAACTTCTGTCATTCATGCAGCATATAGAAAGGGGTAACTCTTTCAAGGCAGTCAAACTTTTTTCTGCTTCTTCTTTAAATAAATGTTCCTCTTTGGCGCTTCCCCGTGTCCCTCTGCCACTTCCTTGGTGTGATTGCGTTGACCCTGCCCTGCATTACAAGCTTTTATCTGTTCTGAGCTGTCCTTTAGAAACCATATCCTTTTGGAGACAGGGGAAAATTGCCTCCGGTGTTTGTCAGAGTGAAGGTGCAAAGAATTTAAGGTGGACCGTGGCAAGGGAATAATCTCTCTTGGTAAAGATGAATGTGGTGCTGTAAAATCTAATAGGGAGAATTTACATTATTCTAGGAGGGCGGAAAGATCTCAGCAGCCACAATGGGGTGGGGTTTGAGCATGAACAATAATCCACCTTTATCACGGAAGCCTGATCACCTTCTGCTCTCTCTGTTTCTCTCCTAGAGAGGCTGTGGTTCTAGGCAGTACTGACTTCATGGAAGATGACATAGAAAAAATAGTAGAAGAGCTTGGAAAAGAATTCAAAGGAAATGCTTATCACCTAATGCACAAAAACTGCAATCACTTTTCTTCAGCTTTATCTGAGGTAAACAAACGTAAAGGTGCTTCCCACGTGGCTACAGAGTGTCATCTCCTTCCTGTCCTTTGGAAAGTTTGGCCTGATTTCTAACTTTTCTTACCTCAGGCAAATGTCACCATTTCTTAAGTTTTATTTGTGCTTGTGTCCAAAACACAAGATTTTTCTGCCAAAAATGCTAAATATCATTGCCATGCATAGTTTGCGTTCGAGCAGGGGTGCATTCCTAACTGAGAGACCCAGTAAATAAAGCATTAATGGGATTTCTGAGTCATTTCAGATGCTTCAGAGATCACTGCTGAAGGTAGAACTGCGCGTTATTTTTATCAGTTTATTTCCCCACAGAGCCATCACACTGAAAAGAGTTTTTAAAGTTATGACCTCCTGTTAAAGAATAACAAAGGCGTTGAAGTTTCAGACTGTTAATCCTCTGCTCGAGAGGCTTTTGTCAGATTACTGCTCTGTCAGCACCTGCGTCCTGGTCATGTAGATACCCGAGCGGTTGTGCAAGTGTCTGGCTGTGGAGCTGAATGTGCTTAGCTTTTCCCCCTCGGCTTTGTTTTAAGAGGATCGCTTTGCCGGTACGATTGGATGCCTGATGGCTCACCTGTGTCAGCACGGGGGAAAGGGTCAGTAGCCCGAGACGAACAGGGGAATGGCAGCTGTCATCTTTATGGGTTAGTTAGCAGCCTGTGCTTGTCAGAGTTTATTCTGATGTTTCACTGAAGCACTCCAGGAAAGGGATGGCTGTTTTTTCCATGGCGAACTTCCATAAAAGTTGTTCTGTTTGTCAAACTAGTTGATGGCGCTCTTACTGGATAGCCTGTGTTTTGTGTAGACTGTTTGATCTGGTAGCGATACTGAAAAAGATCCTGTTGAGGGTATGATTCACGTGCAATGCTGGTGCAAGGAAGCAGGGTGAGACACTGGCAGACCTGCAGCTGGCGTGAATTCTGGCCTGTGTGGCCGGGTTTTTGCCACTCCTTGTCCGCATGGTGTAGGATAGTCACTGGAGGTAATTAAAAATTTAAACTCATATTAAAAATATAGCATTGTTCACATATTAAGGAAAGTTATTGAGGAGGCCTCCAGGGTGATATGCAGCTGATAGTCATGGCATCCCTTCCACAATGGTTGCCTAAGTAACACAACCTCCCACCTGGGAAGGC